GACCTGCTCCTTCGATCAGCTGATTGAGGGATGCCGGGTGGAAGTGTGCCAAAAGCAGCACTCGCAAAGTAAATTTCAGCCGGTTCCACAAGAACTGGTCGAAATTCTAAGCATGTATAGCTTACTTTACAGGTCTTATCCCTCCTCAGCCTGTAACAGGTCAGTCAAAGGAGTCCATCCTCCTTTGTTCCTTATGAGTATAAGAGCACCGCAGCACAGCTGTTGGCTAGTTGTGCTGCTTCTACCTCTCCTAGTCTGAGCTCTACTGCAAGTCAAATTTAGATACTTATACTGTTTGCATTTAAACATGCAATGAATGATGTATTATGGAGCACAGAGCTGCATTAATTTGCGTTTGACAATTGCAATCTAAGGTTCCTATCTCACATGCATACATACGAGAGCCAATTTAGACAGGAGCCAATTAACCTTCCAGCGTGTCAATGGAGTGTGGGAGGAAACTGAAGTACCCAGAGGAAACCTAGGCAAGCACAGAGAACATGCACAAATAATAATAAGCATTCTCCTAATATACAGATTTGGTCTGAAAATGTTTGTCATTACATTGTCTCAACTGGCTCAGTTGAAGTATCGGTGAAATGAGCCCAAATAGTTTTCTGAACGGTGGCTTTTAAATCTGTCTTGGCACCAAAAATACACGCAAGAGGCTGCTGTTCTGTTCCCACAGTCCTATTATTACTGCAGGAGTCACAGAACAGCGATAAAGCATAGTACCTGAGGGCTGTTTGAGCAATTAAAAGGATTTGACTGGCCATTTACTTTCACTAGAAATGAGCCCATGTGATTGTCTGCAGTACAGTGTGACCTCATTGCTCTGGAATGTGGGGCCTGTTTTCTCCTCTAGTTTATGAATGCTTTGGAAGGGGCTGCTAATTGCCATCCTTTACTGTACGGTTCCTTTCTACCATGTAAAACGGGTATTCTGGCATGTCTGTGTATCTAAATTTAGGTGAGACTGTTGGACTTGCAAAACTGTATCCAATTTGTTTCTGTGACTCTATAAGCAGGTTGCTCAGTACAAATAATTGTGCTGACTGTGATATTGTTAAACTTTTACTATGTGAAAATAAGACCTGGAAAAAAAACTACCGTCCAATTATAACCAATTAACAATACTCCAGGGAATATGCCTGGATAAAGTGGATACTCCAGCAGCCTGTACTTAAAGAAAGAAAATGGATAGTAAATGTCCTATTTACCTACCCAGTGCTATAGTGGATCTCATATGTGTTGATCTGTTTTAATAATGCACACTTCACAATTTAAAGTCCAACTCCCAGTTAGGGGCGTACTTTATCAACTGAAGAATCCCCCTTCCATCAAAGCACCCACCACATTTTTGTTTCCTACACATTTTTTGTATACATAACTACTCGAGTGGTTGGGTCATATGGCTTCCTGAAGTCCTCTTTCTCCTGCGGTGAGTGGTCCTCTACAGTATGCTGCAGAGAGCAATGCTCGTAGTCAGGGCAGCTTGATGACCCCCCCTTACCCCAGGAAGCTTGTCCTTGATGCCACGGGCTCATACGAAGATGGGTAAATAACTCAACCTGAATGATAAGCAGGAACCGGGCCCTGCGGGGTACAGCACTGAATGATGGAGAGTGTAAGTACTGATTTTGGACTTCTCACCAGATTGAGACTTCTAGAATACTATATACCTTATTTGTTCTCCCTGGGTGCTCCAGATTTCTCCCAAAAAATATTGTTAGTTCGGAGAGCTTTCAGTTTAATGTTCCTACCACAGTCCTAGCTATTCGGAGGACAGAGACTGACGTAAAAGGTCTATGTGTAAAGCACTGATGATTTTTTCCGCACTAAACGAGAACTATGGGGTAAGTGTTTTTCCCCATAGTTCTCCTCAGGGTCACGGGAGGACATAAACTAACTTCCTCCCGTGACCCAAAGCTCAGTATACCGAGACCGCCGCATTACTGTCGAGATCCACCCAGCTGCAGGATTGACAGCTGGCTCTGCCTATCTAGAGGCAGAGCCAGCTGTACCCACCCGCTCCCCCATTCGTTCCTCCAGTCAGCACTGGAGGATCGGAGAGGGGAGTGACAGCCACGGCTCTCTGCAGGGACAGGATCGAGAAGTGAGCGAGAGACGGTATGTGTTCGCTCACTTCCCGATCTATTGAGCCGACGTGTCACAGTTTCATTGTCACAGGTCGGCTCGAACTATGAGGTTGAGTGAAAAACCCTCACCTCATAGTTCTCCTTTTTAAATAAAAAAATAAATCTAAAATATATCAACCAACAATTACTAGTAAGGGAAGGAAGAGACAAAATTTAGGCCTTTATTCAGACTGGGCGTACACGTCCATGTGGTGTGCACGCACGTAAACGGGCCAGTCCTGGGGGGGACAGGTGCAGCGTGTGATTGCGCACAGCAGCCTGTTTTTCCCTATGGGAGGACGCAGCTGTACGCTGTCATACGCACACCTGAACTGCACATCCGTCAGACAGTGTGCGTCCAAGTGCGGGCACTCGTACCCGCACGGATGTACAAGTACAGGTGTGAAGATGACCGCGTACAGCCACATCCTCCCATAGGGAAGAACAGGCTGCTGTGCACAATCATATGCAGCACCTGTCCCTCCCAGGATTGGCCTGTTTATGGGCATGCATGCCACACGGACATGTATGCCGCATCTGAATGATTAAAGTGTATGCCCAGCCAAAACATTTTTCCCATTTTGGATAGAGTACAGAAGGATTAGAGATCAGTCAGGTTTTTTTTACTGATATCTGAGGCTCAGTAAGAGAGCCTTCCACTAACTTCCTGTCCAAGTGACAACAGTTTCAGCAGACAAGAAGTAAGGGATAATCTCCAACAGAAACACAGACCAAAATGATTTATTAGTGTAGGAGAAGACTAGAAGCATTTTTTCGCTGTGGGCCTGTTGCAGATTTGTCCTCACTTCTATCTGGTGAAACCATTTGTCACCATTACAGTAAGATCGGGAGATTCTCTCTAACAGAACCCTGGAAAGCAGTTCAAACCTGACGGGGTCCTAACCCTTCCCCACTAAATCCAAAACTCTAGAGATGCATTTTGCCTGGACATTTAAGGATTAAAGTATAAAGGTTCGGGAAACAGGTATTTATTCAAGTATAATTAACAAATCCGGTTCTATGATACATAACTGAATCAAAACTATCACAAAACATATTGGGAAAATAAATAATAAATATCATCCTCAACATATGGTAATTGTTATTGCTTCTTTTTGTTATTGCTTCTCATGTCACCTCTGTTATGTCTTACAGCTTGGACATAGGCCCGCTCAATTTTATATTTAGAATAATTAAAAAAATTATTTGCACAATAAATCCCTTCATATGGTTCTCCTCTATTATTGTGACTTGCTTGTTTTGACTGTTTTATTGTGCTTATAAATTTGCTGCCATGTGATCTGAGACTGGACTATTTGAATCTTACTTGTTACTTGAAATTATGTTTGACAAAGTCCATGGGCCATCAGCATTGGACCCTTGCCATGTGATTTATACTGAGGACAGGTTCTCCTTTAGTGTATGGGAACCCAACTCCTTTACAGAAAATACATAGTGGGGATGCATAATGTAGACAGTTTGGATCCCACATCAGTACCATTTATATATTTAAACATAACTTACATGGTTATCTGAAATCTGCAACAGCAGTTATATCTAGGGTTTTCACAGAATACCTCCTACCTAATGCAAACAGGTAGATGGATTGAATGGATCTCCCTATGCATGCAAATAAAAAGTGAGTAATGCAGAAGTGCACAAGTACCCCTGGCTGATCAATGACCACTTCAACTAATGCCTTGTTCACATAGGCTTAGGCTTGTATAGAAGTCGGGGGTACAGCAAGCTGTTACAAAGAATTTCTAAGCATTCAGCTTCAGGCAACTTTGCTGGAGATTTAAAGCTGCAGTGGTCAACTTGCAAGATATAAGGGGCCTCAAATACATCCCACAACATCACAAAGGGGCACGCATATCATTTTGCCCCCTTTACAAATCAGTGCTCAGTCAGTGGATTCATACCACTGCCTCTGACCTTAGTCAACTGTCAGACAGAACCAACAAACAGTGCACAGGACATGTTAAAGAGGTAGAAGAACCAGCCTGTTGGAGAAGGGAAAAAGGTGCATAATAAAAGAAAACTCACAGCTGACAGTATGGGCCTAATCCCCCACCTTCCCCAAGCAAGTCAGGCAGCATCAAGCTAACATCAGGGATATACTTAATGAGGCTAGGTCCTTATCTTCTGCACATGTGGTCCCCTCTACCATGTCTGCCCAATGTACAGATAACAGCCCAGTCCCCAAGATATGATGTCAGTTACAAACAGAGCTGGGAGCAGAGAGCTTTGATTGGCAGCATCTGCTGCTTTTCCAATGTGGACCCTGCCACTGGGATGTGGCCAGCACTTAGGAAGCCACCGTCTAAGCAATGAAGGGCAAGCCTGCACACTGGCATCTGCTTTTATGATGCATGGGTGCTGCAATGCGACTGGTGCCAGGAGCAGAGGCTTTTGTTTACCTGGTGGGCCTCGTTATGGGCACAAGGGCTTTAAATCAACTTCAAGCTCTAGTTTGGAGTCATTAAACAGATATTTTTGGGGAAAATAGGTTGTTACTTTAAACAAGTTGCTAGTGGGCTTCTGTAAGCTTTAACACTTTTTTGAAACCTAAATAAAGCCTGCTAGCAGCTTGTTTTAATCCATCACTCCCATTTAGATCTGTGTTTACCAAATTGGAACTAAAGGTTGCTTTTAAAGCTTCAAGAAAGCTGTCCAAAGTGTTTTGAAAGCTTGCTGTACACACTGCCCTTATAAAAGCTAATATTTGTGGAAACAAGGCCTTATGGTATATTAGTGATAGTGCATGTCCCTTTTAATGAAGGGTGGCTTGGTGCTGAAAGAAAGATTATATATATATGATGCATATTTATGAGAATGAAAAAGCTTTGTTTTTCTTATCAGATTGAACAAATGAGGGGAGAACTGCTTCAAGAACGTGCTGCAAAGCAAGATTTGGAGTGTGATAAAATGTCCTTGGAAAGACAGGTAACATTAGCTTTCTATATAAAAATATAATTATTATGTTGTGTACCTTAGCTAAAAAGCCATCCCCTTCTTGTCAATGTATTGCAGTGCTGATTTTTGCAGTCTGCAGTCAATGAAACATAGGGACCTAATGTACTGTATAGCACCTGTGATTGTAAACAGAGGTTTGGATGTGAATGGGATTTCTCAGATTTCAGGGAAGATTTCTCACTGTATAAGAATTTTAAAAGTCTGTTATTCTTATAAGATGCATTGATTTATTGTTGAAACGTTTGGTTTTGTTTTCCAACCTTGTGTAGCATTTGAAGTTGAGTATTGTTTGACCCACTGCAGCTTTTCTTTCGCTCAGAACAAAGATCTGAAGAGCAGAATAGCTCATCTTGAAACTTCACATCGATCCAATAAAGAAGGGCTTGTTGCTCAGATGGAAACAAGAATAGTGGAGCTGGAAGAACGCCTGGAAAATGAAGAAAGGTAACGTAACTTGTTGTTGTGTTTGGGCTTGGTGAATGATTCTTTTTTTAACCCTTTACTTGTGTTATTGCTGTAATATAGCTGTGGTTCTAGTGTTATGCTTTATGAAGTAATATTAGGCTTTTAGGCATACCTATACAGGTGAAACCCGAATAATTAGAATATCGTGCAAAAGTAATTGCAGTAAGTGCTGCAAAAGGGGCCCAAACCAAGTACTGAGTACATATGCATGCTTGTACTTTTCAGAGGTCCGATATTGTTCTATGTACAATCCTTGTTTTATTGATTGCATGTAATAATCTACTTTTTTGAGGTTGTGGATTTGGGGTTCTTGGGGTTTTCATGAGCTGTAAGCCATAATCATCACAATTATGAAAAATCACGGCTTGAATGATCTTGCTTTGCATGTAATGAGTCTCTCTCATATATTAGTTTCACCTTTTTAAGTTGCATTAGTGAAATAAATGAACTTTGCACGATATTCTAATTATTCGAGTTTCACCTGTATGTTTAATTTGCTTGTAGATCCCTGAATTAAAATTGTGTTTCAGAAATCCAGTGCAACCTGCTTATAGTTTTAAAAGTACCAGGGAAGAAGTAAAAATAAAGAACTTTGGTTTGCTTTTTTGGCATTCACTGTATATTTTAGCAGATATCTTTTGTGGTATTTTATATTGAGTGAAAATACCTGTATATAATCTTAGACATTTAACCCTTTCGCTGCCAAGGACGTATGTCGTACGGAGCTACAAAAGTGCTTCCACCTGGCCAGCTCAGTACGCCGTACGGACCTGGCATTTACAGTTCTACTATAAGCTGATGGTCGCTTTAGCGACCATCAGCTTATAGTAGAACTGTTCAGCAGACTGTCCCCTTTAAATTAATAGCTGTCATCAGCGGCTCACAAGATATATGGTTTGGGGGGTCTTTTACAAACGCTAGCAACGCAGCAGTTGAAAATCAAATCAATAGGAAACAATTGCAGAAAATTCAAAAATGGCTTGGCCAGCTGATTTGAAAAATGTTCCGGAGGGCTTGGCAGCGAAAGGGTTAAAGTGTATGTTAAAGCATAATAAAAAAAATATATTCAGTATATCTCTGGAATACACGCAACATGTCTGACAACATGCCTCTTGGACATGACAACACAGCTCTGAATTGGTAATCATATGGTGCCAGCCCTGTCTGATGGATTAAATATAATACAGCCCCCTCCTCATCTCCATAACCCCTCCTTGTGGACAAGCAGACCGCTTAAGATGTTATCAACCCACACGTTTTTTTGTCAAACAGATATAACTATAAATTTTCAATGGTATAATTAGCAGACCAAAAGGGAGCAAATAAGATAATTTTATTGTTGTGTTTACATATACTTTAAAAGTTTTAAACTATAGTTTCTATTAAAGTACTATTAAGCCTATAAAAAAAGCAGTATCCGTATAGTTGTCCCAGTATTTATCTGAAGTCTTGCCAACTGCCTGACCTTACGCACTGTTTCTCAGCTTCTGATAGGGCATGGCAGTGTAAAAAACAAAGCCCTATTGTCTACATTCCTCTTGGCTCCAAGGCTTTACTATGTGACACTGCTATGCACTCTAAGGAGCTGGGAAACAATTGTCATGTCTTGTTCTCAAAGTACGATAAAGTGCAATGCATTTACACCCATTTTGCTTTTTGTAATTACAATAAGTCACAAAAAAATATATAGATAGATATGTGAATGCCTGGAACTGTGCAGAAGCCAATATATTTTAAGAAAGTTAGGAATATTGAGCTATATTATCACACAGCTGCGTTGTGGTTAGCCAGTTCCATAAACACTAACTTTCCATATTTGTTCTGTAATGGTATTGCCTGTTTTACATATATTTGAATTTTTATTAGTACCTATTTTTACACAAAATAACTTTCTATCTTTCATAAGCAAGACTGCCTAGCCATAATAATTTGGGTTTTATTTTTAGATTCTTGAAAATTCCAGGGTTTTTCTTTTAAATGTAAAGAAATATATGTTTAGGATTACAGCCAAATAAACGTTGCTATTTGAAACTGGCAAGATGGTTTGAAATCAAGGGAACCTGTCCATGCTTAAGCACAATCACTTGGATCATTTGTTTGCACAAAAATTGGGACATGGCCGTGTGTCTGCCGCCGAGGCTCCTACATTAGTATTCAACTTGTGCGGGATAACATGACAGGAAGCTGGCATACTGTACCCAGATGTCTATTATGCTTTCCTTTCAATGCTTTGCTTATGATTCAGAGCAGTTCACTGTGACTGGGTGCTGAGCTGATGTCTTGCTTCACTGTCTTCATAAACTCTCCTGCATCTCCTGTATATTTTCTGTTTACGTAATTATTTATATAATTTTCATATGGTGAATGTACATAGGTATATTTGTTTCAGAAATAACTATCAAGTTTCTTTTTTCTTTTTTTTGCCTGAAAGACAGTAGATTGCAATGTAATGTTCTGAGCTTCAAGCCGTAAATCCACAGAATATTAAATGCAGCATACAAACATTTCATCAGTATTCTGAGTGGAAGTTAAAAAGAATCTGGCACAGTTTCCAGCTCCAATTTCCAAACAATGTGCTTTTCCTTTCCACAGGGATCGGGCAAGCCTCCAACTCAGCAACCGCAGGCTGGAGAGGAAGGTGAAGGAGTTAATGATGCAGGTGGATGACGAGCATCTCACTTTAACCGATCAGAAAGATCAGGTAGGGCAGATTTTAAATGGTTCGCCACTCAAACCTTAATTAACTACTGTATGTCAAATTTTAAGAGACTTCAGATGCAGCTTTTGTATTCCTCATGTTTGTCCTTGGTTTGTTTTCATATGACAGCTGTTTTATTCTTGCAGCTGCATGTTCAGGCTAAATGATTGATGTTGCTTTGAGCAATGGAACTCCAAGCAGCACTAATCTGATGAGAACACTGGAATTTGCAGGAAAATCAATATTATTTGTAAAATGTATTATAGATAGCCAGCAGTGTGCATAATACCAACATGATAAATTTATGCCAGGGAACTTCGAAATATATATTTATTTTACTACTCTTCTTGTTAGGGCCCGTTCACACCCAATGTGTTGGGGCTGCACTTGCTGGGTTTTGTTTTCCAGTGCAGACGCAACACAAGTCAAGGCAATTTGCCTTGTTTTAGATGGGCTCAGTTTACACTACCATGTTGCGGTGGTGTGCACAGAAAAAAAGAGTATGGCATGCAGTAAGGATGGTCCTGGCCCAAGAAAACCAAAGCATTCAACAGGTTTAGACATTGTTTGAGCATTTATATGAATTAGTGCCAAAAAGCACAAAGATAAACTTGTAATAATTGGAAAGATTTTCTATCAAGAAAAGAAAATAGACCTTTTTTTTACATGTCTGCGTGTCCAGTCTGCACATACTTACCTGTGATGTGGTGATGCTTCCAGGTACAAAGTATGCCATGGCAAGCATGGTTTTCTAAGTGCATCCAACTTTGCATTTCTCAGCAAAATGATTGGACGTAAGTGCATAGGTTAACTCAAGCAATTATTTTTATTGGAAAAAAAAAAACACTCTCTTCACAACAAATATATACATTGCAAGGATATTAGAAAACATATTTTGGACTTTTAGCTGCTCTGCTCTAAATGCTAAAAGAAACAATAGCTATAACTTTCTCCAATATAATAGAAATTAGCAGCCTATGACTACTTTTAGTGTACAAGGGTATCTGAAATATGTCTTCATCTGTGAACATAGTCACAAAATTGGTGCCGGTGATTTATTAGAGAATTCCTGTATCTCTGTATCCCTCCACACATTCAATGTCCTTGGGAAGAATCTCTGCAAAGATGAGACTGAATGCTTCAAAACTAAAGGCAGTGCAAGGAATACTTGGAATTTCACCCCTGCATTCGGTTCTGAGGGTTTTCTGTACACTGCGGGGGAATTTATCAAAACTGGAGCAGACAAAATCTCAGATCTGCATTGCAACCAATCAGCTTTTCTGTCTCATTTTCAAATTTTACCTGATCAAATTGAAGAGAGATGCTGATTGGTTGATCCAGATTGTGTCTGCTCCAGTTTTGATAAATTCCCTCCTTTGTCTTTTACTGAAGCTGGAATCAGAATGGCAGGTCCCAAGTCATTTTCCAAACTAATATTTATCTATGAGTCGGGAACAATATCACATCAGGTTTCAGTGCTTTGAGCAATAGTAAGCAGGCCATTTACTGCCTGTCTTTGTCTTATAAAGATGAGCCCGTAACCCAGCAAAACACATGATCCAATTTGGTCACAACACACTCTTTTACTCCATTTCCTGAAGATGTCTTACTTAATAACAAGGTTCTGGTATTTAAAACGGGGTGCACAGGAATATGCAAGTTTCCGTAAAGAAACAGTTTGATTCCATCTTTAACCTTTTTATAAAATTCAATAAGAATACAAATACTGCCTGCCTAGGGTTACAATCACCCTCCAGTGGTGATGGGACAATACAGCCATATCAGTGTCACCTTGAAGTGTGTTCAGAATTGTGTACCCCTGAGTTATGCAAACTGTTTGAAATCTTTCCAATTGTCATAGACATTATCCATTATATACCTTCAGAACAAGGCAATATATTAATTTATATTTTACACCTACTTTCTTACGGAATCCACCTTTAGCGCTGTGTTATCACTTGCACATCATATTTTACCAATTCATAGCAGCTTTAGGATTAGTATTCTAACTTTTTAGCCTTATCTTTCCAAGAGCGCAGATTCTTTTATCTAAATTATCCATTATATATCTGTCGTATATCTATTATAGTGATCCTATCAGTAACATTACAAATCCACACAAATAGATTCCTCAAATGTCACATTTATAAAGCAATATTATAATACCACCTTTTATAATTAAAAAGGGGTTCTTGAGCTCTTGGCACCATGACTAGGCTGGGAGGTGCAAGGTAGTGCAGGTCTACCAAAGTAATCTCACAGAATGTGTTTCTTCTTAAAATCTCTAGCTAAGCCTACGACTGAAATCAATGAAGAGACAAGTAGAAGAAGCTGAAGAAGAAATTGATAGGCTGGAAAGTTCTAAAAAGAAACTGCAAAGAGATCTCGAGGAACAAGTTGACCTCAATGAGCAATTGCAAGGACAGTTAAATGGTGCAAAGAAGGAGCTCAGGTTAGTGTTTACTACTGGTTTAACTAATGCACATCTAATAGAAGCATCACATATGTGTAATATAGAATCTGTGTGTGTGTGTGTGTGTGTGTGTGTGTATAATATACACATACATAAACATTTGTCATGGACTTATTTCCACTGCAAGACCCATGACTGCCTCCTATATTTACTTTGGATTTGGATCGGTATTTAGCAAAAATAAAAAGAAAAGCTCCTCATAGTGTAGTCGACAAACATTTATTTGAAAAAAAAGTAGTCACAGTTAAAACCGAATAGATCGGCGGCTCACAGGCAGCGTGTGGATATCCTGTACTTCCTGGTTGTTCGTGGTATTGAGAAGTGTAGCCCCGCCCCCAAAATTGGCTTTTTGCATTACTGTTTATATTTAATGCTATTTTTCTTGTAGTAGACGCAGGAACTCCCCAAGCAAGATGTTGAATGATCTTGATGACGATGATGACCTAAGCACCGATGGAGAGAGCCTTTATGAAGCACCTTCTTTATACAAATATTCCAGGGATGATGGCCTCACCACCTAAACTGGATCTGTTATTTGGACTGTAAAAGATGAATGAACCATAGAACACCATGCACTGTACATTCCATGGAATAAAACACAGGAAAGCGACAATTGGGGCAGCATGCCACCCAGCATTTAGTATTCTTTTACATGCAAAGCAAAGTAAACTGATTTGTACAGAACAATGTCTTAAGAATGTTATGCTTTGTAAATATTATAATCCATATATAATTTGTTATAGAGTATTTCATAGTATATTCAAGTATATAATAAACTGTTACAGTTAATCTAGCTTTTATGACCAATCCCAGTGCAGTTGCTGCAAGCCTACTTGTTAGCGAAGACTTCAGACATCCAAATAAGTAACTACTTTGCTGAATGTCATTACTTTTATTGACACAGCTAACAGTCTGGTGTAAATAATTGTTTATTTGTATTGATTCTTAGATTGCTTTGTTGTAAAATCCAAATCCAATCTTTTACAACATGCTTCTCTTGCTATCGTGAAATGAAATATTTTTTTAATAATGTTATTACATCTATTAAAGAATCTTTTAACAAGATGCCAAGACTGTGTAAGATTTTCACAATAATGTTTTTGTATGATTGTTTAAAAATCTTTTTTTTTCTGTCTCTCATATCAGGTGATTTATGGGGCATGCTCAGTGGAGTAAATACTTCTATATCCTTGGACCACACTAAGTCCTAGCATAGGTTTTAATCTGTCTGCAGCCAGGAAGGTGAATAAAGACTTGGTTGCCATTTCTTTTAACCTGCTGTGTCATTTGCCCATTACATATGATAGACCAAAACATTTCAGTGAAGATTAGGTACCAGCATTGTTTAGCTAAAGAAATAGCTCATGGTAAGCAGGATTGCACCCATAAAGCTGCAGCTGATTGCATTGGTTCAGCCTTCCAAGTAGCAACCCCATACAGCCTGCATCTCCTTCCATGAAATTTACCCCAAATGCATTACAATAGTGCAATTTTTGGGTATAAAAGTAAGAGGTAGCCCCCCCCCCCCCCCTAAAATTTAGAAACCATAGAACAAAGCAATTGGGGGGCTTTTTAGGTACCACTATTACAACCTCATGTTAGATCCATACAAAAGATGTTTAATCATTAAAATTTTTAAAATCAATCCCCATATAATCTAATATAATCTAGAAGAAAAAAAAAACACATTGTTATCATCCACAAGTCCACAAGTCATATGTCCTAGTCTAGCATCCTAAAAGACTTATTTCATGTTTCCTTAGTCTTTTATTGTTGTACCTTTTATGTCCAATTTTTGGGTGGTACTAAATACTTTCTTTTTGTGACGACCTGTGGTTCCTGAAGAAGTGCAATACAAAACGCATTGAACCAAAAGTGGGCTATGTAGATACAACAGTGATAGACTAATGAAAAGTGTTTTCATGAAGCTAGACTATGACATGTGAATGATAACAGTGTTTGTGTGTTTCTGGATTTTATGATTCAAATTTTAGGATTGAAGATCGATTTTTAAAATTTTTATAAATAATGTTTTGAATAAACATTGAGGGGAATTTATCAAAACTGGAGCAGACAAAAGAGCAGCTGTGCGTGGCAACCAATCAGCTTCTCTCTTTCCTTTTCAAATGTTAATTGAACAAACTGAAGAGAGGAGCTGATTGGTTGCCCTGGACAACTGCTCCAGCTTTGATAAATCCCCGCTTTATCTTTTGTATGGCTCTAACATGAGGTTGCAAAAGTAGTACCTAAAAAGCCCCATGATTACTTTGTTCTATGGTTCCCCCCACGTGCATGTAAATTGTTCTATGCTCTCATAGAAGCAGCCAGTACAACAGTACATGTGAGTGTTGCATGCATGCATTAGAAATAACAAGGGATACTTGCCACAGTTATCGGCTAGCTATTGTACATGCCTTCCTGGTCATTTTACCCATAACTGCACTACTGCATGTTTTTCTCCATGTGAATCTGGTTAGACTCTGGGTTAGAGTCCGTTACCATCAACTTGCACTACAAGTGGACGTCATTTTGGCTTAATACATGTCCACTGTTTTAGAGACAAGCAAATTGCCCATCCCTGATTTTAATGCTTTTTTCATTTAACTCCGAACAGAAAGCATTATGGGATCCAAGCAGAGCACGTTGTGTTATGAATGTTTAATCATAACACTGTTCTTAATGTCTGTGTTCCTAGGCAGGAGCAGAAGTTTATTTTACTCCTCAGTAAACACAGCTGGTCTGGCAGTTGTCATCGGGTATAGTGCTAATTTCTGTGTCCATAATTCTCTACTCCATTCCTGATAATTAAAAAGCAGTTATACATGTGCCCTTCACTATGGCTCCTGCAGACTCTCACCCTGACACTATGTATTGTGCATACTGTTATTGATTTCACCTATTACAGTTCCCTATTCCCAGAACAACGTATAGATTTTCTGTTTCAGTCATTTAAAAACATTCCTGTGCAGACACAATCCAAACAATTCCTTCAGTTACATTATAGGTGTACCAAGTTTTAAACTGTTTATAGATATTGTATACATTTACAGCACAGACAGAACGTCATGCATAGCATGGCAATAAAAAATTTATATAGAGGACCCCTTCTCCACCCATAGACTCCAGCAACAGCAATACTCATGGAGTTGCAATTAAAGAAGACGTATGATATATCTCGGAACTGCCATTGCAGACGTCTTTCTGAAAATGCTAGTTGTCTGCCAGCATGGTTTCAGTACTTCCCAAATCCTTGAACTGGAACAAGCAAGCAGATCAGAAAAACCAGAAGACACTAGCTGCCTACTTGTTTTGGATCTATGACTCAGAACTGAAACACTATAACCAGGCAACTAGCATTTTCAGAGGGAGAGATCAGGAATGGCGGCACCACGGTCCTTTCCTGTAATGTTTAATTTAAAGTAACATGGTAATAGGCTCAATTTACTAAAGCCTTTCTCAACCTTTTTAACACAGAGGAACCCTTGAAATAGTTTTTAGGTCTCGGTGGAACCCCGGCTAATCATTATTATATCTACTGCTTATGGGACATTAGCGTGAAGAGTTAGTTGTGAATATAAGAATAAATAACAGAATAAGGAATGTGGTGTACTTAGTGTATTTGATACCCAGGGCTTCTCCATATGACAAAATAATTTTCAGTAATAATAATGAAATACAACAAACATAAATTGTAGTGCCCCCTTACATTACTGGTCAGTGAAGTGCTTTGTCACATGGGTGGTCAGTGGAGAACTGTCCCCTTAGATTGGTCTGTGGTGGTGGTCTGTGGAGGAAAGGTCCACCTACATGGGTGGTCAGTGGGAAGAATTCAATTTTTTTTGGAATGTTCCTAGAGTTAGGCTTTTAAGAAATGTCTGGTATAAAAGGAATTTGGGGGCGGTCATTACCATCCTGTCTTGAATTGTATTGTGATTGTAATGTCTTCCTTATATTGTAAAGCGCTGCGCAAACTGTTGGCGCTATATACATCCTGTATATATAATAATTGTTGATCTCCTCTCTGGCTTCAATACTTTTTAAGACACTGACCAACAACAAGTTCACAGAGAAGTGGTAACTCCTGATCTACATACTTACTTTGAGTTAGTGCCTCCAAATGTATCGAAGCCATTGGATTGGTGGGACAGCTAGGCAACTAGAAATATCAAAAAGAAGCACTTTCCTCCGTACAGGTTACCTTTTGAGTTACACTAGGCCTATCCTACCTATCGCTGTCTATACTACAATCCTCATCCTATCTTCTATCTTTATAAATATTCATTTATCTGGTTCTAATCTGCATCCATCCTTTGCTGATCCTACTACAGAAACAGGAGGTATATAGTGAATATATAACTTTTCCTGAGATTTGTTCACAAAACTGTATACTCTCTTGGATTCTGAGTGGGATTATTTTTCATGAGTTTACAATAGAATACTTAAAAAATTAAAGCTTCTTTAAACCTAAAAGCAAAAACTAATATTTTACAGCTTAGCCGTCCTTAGATGTCGTGGCTGCATTAGTTTTCTGGTTAAGAGCATTTTCAGCAAATACAAAAAAAGACCTGTTGATCTTGCCAGAAATGCGGTGTCCTTGTCACTTCATTTGGGCTGAAAAGAAAGCACAAACATCCATATCTATGTTGTGTAAACCACTAGTGCCATGGATTCACCACGTAATAGAGATGAACAGAGGCAAACATATGTAAATCCCGGACTATATGACAACAATGGCTCCTTCCATAGATTCAAAAAAAGGAAGAGAAGAAAACTAATGCAGCCACGACAACTAAGGACTGGTAAGCTACAATATATTACACTTTTGTTTTTGGGTTTAAATACCCTATAATTTCTATGAAAGGGGATTTGAATATACAATTAACATTTTTTGAAAAATACATGAGGTACTTTGTTCAGGTGTGATAAAGTACAGAAGCATGCACTAATGAATGCCATCTGCTTAAATGATTGTCATACTCTTATTATCCTCTTCAGTCTACCATAAAAGCTGATCATTCCTATACAGAAAAATCTGCAATTACTTTACATTCTGTTGGGAAAAAAAAATAACAGAATGAGCAGGAGTGCTGCCTGCAAAACAATACTTAGCCTGGCAACATGCCAAAAGTGCCATTTAGTGTATAAGTATAGCCTATAGCAACAGCCAGGAGTCTTAACTGTGGGAGGGCAGCAAACAACCAAGCTGTCCAGGGAGCACAATATCACAATTACATTAAACAAGAAAATACTTAAATGTTCAAGTGAATCTGATGCTTGTCTCTGATTCTCTCCCAAAACTCCAGCAATTGGTCTCCTCAGTTGCCAGACGATTATAAAGGGTTGATAAAAGAGGGGATGCTACACCGTGATAAACACGGCCCTGTCCCAACCTTTTGAAGACGTGTTGCTACCATCAATTTAAAAATTACCCTATATTTTTTCTTAAAATTGTACATTTTCTCAGTTTAAACTGTTGATATGTTTTTCGTTTTTCTATCGTGAATAAAATCTGGGTTTTTAAGATTTGCAAATCATTGCATTCAGTTTTTTTTTGTAGATTTTAAACAGCGGCCCAACTTTTTGGAAATTGTGGATTCTGGTGCAGTTTCTCATTCTGCAGTAACATCCTTTAGGCCCCTTTCAGATGGGCTTTCCAATCAGGTTCGTCTGTCAGTTTTTCAGGCGGACCTGTTAATCTACGGACAGCCATATGTAAACGGGCGGGCGTCCATTTACATCCGGTTACCCCCAGACAGGTCCAGAAAAACAATCAGATCAGAGATCTGTTTCACCAGAACTGATCATGCCAGATCGGGGGGTAAATGGATGCCTGTCTGTTTAAATTCAGCTGCCCATACACTAATATGGGTCCGGTAATGTCAAATTTTTTCCCTCCATCACAAGATATTGCAATAACACAGATGTCACAGCGTGCACGGATCCCCTCCTAATCTGATAATGTAATAGAGGCCCTACAAGGCCCCAGGGAAGTTAATGGTAGTACATGGTGCACTGACTACTATATGTTACAATGAGTTTTTACTAAATGGT